ATTCTCGACGGCAGACTGTAGACCAGGACAACATCGTTCTTCGAGATCCGTTTTGAGGTGGCTTCGTGTGAAATATTGTACCAGATGACAGCGACGACACACCGGCAACCAACGCCGTTACCACAAGTGCGACCTTACTGCAGCCACCGTCTCAAGGATGACACTGCAAAGGCCAAGCCGCGTCAACAAGCGGCACTGCGTAATCGGCTGCATCATCAGTGGCACAGCATAATCGGCTGTATCAACAGCGGCACTGACCAATCGGCAGCTTCAACACGGCACTACACAAGCAAGTGTCCCCACTGGAGGGAGTGCCCTCCAGTGGATAACAGTAAAACTCATGCTTACCAGTACTCGCTTTGTAATCTACTTGCAGCGCGCAATACGGCATAAAGGGGGGATAGTACTATCTCAGAGCTCAGCGACGGACAAAAGCATTCCTTTCGAAGCTTACAAATGCCGCACCGTCGAAAGCTCACCGTCCTATGACAAAGAACTAATTCATCTTGACCATGGGCAGCTCCTAAGCTTCACATTCTCCCTGTACGTCACCTTCAGGTGTCCACCACGTAAACTACGGAGCCGTCTACCAATACGAATGGACTTGCTGAAGGCTCATGCGCACCTCGATGACACCGCTACAACCACCAGACATGATGCTTGTGGATACCCGCATGCCCGCGCTGCTGATAGCATCACCACTGCTTGTCAGAAATACCTTGCCGTCACCTTCACCTTCTGTGTTGCGTCCGTGCCCCACCAACTCCACATCGGCAACAGCCGCATTGCTGTCGCCCTGAAATGAGCCTTAGGCAGCCGTCAGAATAACTACTGACACACACGCTGCTATGTTTCCCATTGTTACCAGAGGCGTCGCTCGACACAGCACACTACACGGTAACACTCGATGATGAACCGACATACACACAACAGCGTCGCTAGACCTGCTCATCGACGAAGGTCCGCACGGATCTGGAAGCTCCCGTCTGTTGAAAAGCTACTGGTCACGAATACGGTGCCTCCAGATGCTGCCGCGTCACTGATCCGCCCGCAACGCTCGCATCCGACTGGGCTGAGAGTCGGTGGACACACACACTACACCGGGCACAAGGTTAATCGCCCGCGAGTTTTCCGAAGACAGCGCCGCCACTCCCCGCACAGCGTCAACCGACTCTCCACTTTTGATCGCCACGACCCTCTCTAGGCGGCGTCGCTTGCGAAAATACCACTCACAATGCGCATGGCACCGCTGTCTTGCGAGCCTGCGTCGGATGGAATAGGCACGCCGTCACCGACTAGAGCTTCACATGCGCGGTCGTTAAGAGAATCGACGGCTGAAGTCGCCACGCCTATCGAAGCTATACCACTGGACAATACAACATCACCTGCCAGACCAGAAGACGCACTCACAGAGCCACCGCCAACTTGAACCGAAAGCGTTGTCCACAGTCGACACAATCCGCCGGAAGACACGGACACAGCGCGCACACGGTACAATGTACCACGTGATGGCGACTAATTTGAGAATTAGGTTTTGTACTTAATGTAATGTATCGTTAATAATGAGTATCAGACTGTCTGTTTTATGGATCCTGACCTGAGTCATTATTCGGAGTCCTTACTGCAACCTTAATATGCGACATTTATACTTGCTTTAA